CTTCACTAAACCTTCTGACTTTCTTTAAATGCTCATGTTTCCAACTCGACTCTTCTTTGTCTGCCAGCCCACCTGCCTCTGCCATTCACTCTTTGTGAAACACAATGCTGGTTTACAGCTGTATATGTCATCAGCATGAAGCTTAGTCTGACTCCAGACTGAGCAGAGTGCATACTGGCAACAAAATCCTGCTCCCAGTAAAAGAACCGATGTGGGAGAAATGGACACTAAGAAGTATAATTTGTGTGACTGTGTGTATGTGGGAATCAGCTGGGTTAAAGATTTTTATTTATTTATTTTTTTTTTAAGTTGTACTAATCCTGTCAGGAATTGGAATGCGCAAGTTTAGAGAAAGATCGGGCCAAGGATGGCATTTGATACATTAATGTGTCTGTAAGAAGAACTTATGACCTTGAATTGTGAAACTAAAGTATTTAATTCAAAGTCATTATGAAAAGAACTGGCAGTATATTAACCAGGATGAACAGTAGCGCAAAAGATAGCAGTATCGCCTTATTATGGTGCATTAAACTGTTAAATTTCCGTTATTAATGGTTAATAAATATAGAAAAGGTGTGAAAAGTTATTTATTGCCAGTTTGGCAATTATTTATGTTTACAGTTCTGTATGTCCAAAAACAAAAAGCCTGTTAGAGAGGGCAAATAAGTTTTCAGGTATATTTCATTTAGAGTTGCTGCTCAAGTTATTTTGTGACAAGCCAACAATATCACAGTAGGGGATTTATTTTTATTTACCTCACTCAAATAATGTACTGAAATATAATTTTGGATAAAAACAAAGAAATTGTGAAATTATTCTGCTGCAGTTAGCCACATTTATGAGGTTCAGTAGCAATTCTTAAGCCCAAGAGTCATGCTAAAGGGAAAAAAAAAAATCTGTCTACAATTAATCAATATATATATATTTTTAAAACTGACATTCATTTACTTTTTGTCAAAGCCATAGAAACTCTGTTATTTAACTTGGATTAGGAGTCAAAACAGATGGACCTGCTGCAGCAGATGTCAGTCCAGGCATTCATCTGGAGTTTTGCTTCGGTGATAGCTGGGTTTCTCCATCATACTGTGGGGGTCTGATACAATTTAAACTCAGTAAGAAAGAGAGAGAGAGAGAGAGAGAGAGAGAGAGAGATGGCACTCAGGGTTTGTTAGTGTTGAGTAATTGACCGCATGGTGTCCCATGGGTCTCTGTTAACCAGGTTGAACGCCTCATGGAAGCATGAGAGTGAATGACCTAAAGAGAAAGGTGTGTGTGTGTGTGCGTGTGTGTGTGTGTTTCGGAGGGGGGGATTTGGACTGGTCCATTGTTTGTCCTGATGATTTCCAGATGATGGTAACTACCTCCTGGGCCTCTCTCACTGGAGTGAATGGATTTTGTCCAAATTTATCTGCTGCAGCTTTAAAATCCCTTCATATTTGCTGCTCTTAATTTAAAGTGCCAGATATGATTTTTGGTTGTTTTTTTTTTTTTTCCCATTTGAGTTCATCGCATAAGTTTTCAATCTTCAATCCATTTTCTATGTTTGTGGTGAACATTGGGAGCAACTACAAGTTTTCTAGCCTTTATCAGAAAGTCATGCCTTCCTCAGAAGGACGAAACACCTAAAACGTCTTTCTAATCGGTAGCCAAACATTTAAGCCTTTTGTTTGTTTCAGGTCCTGTAAACGATTGAGCTGCACAAGTTTTACCAGGTATTTGTGTTTAGCACAAAACAGCCAGCCTGAGTTCTTAAACTCTGAAAATATTTAAAATGCATCGCAAAACTATTCATACGCATTGAACTTTTGCAAATTTTGTGACGTTAAAACCACAAACTTTTATTGTTTTATTGAATAATTGCAACAAGATTTTGGGGGTATGTCTCTGCCAGCTTTTTACATTAACAAGTGTTGCTAAATAGGTTAAGTTCAGTTAGTTTGGCTGGAGATCATCTGTTTACTCCAATTTTCAATTATTTACTCAGTCTTTTTGTGCTTTGGTTTTCATTTGTGTTTGTATTCTGATCATTTTTGGGTTGTTTATTGTTATTTGGATATTAGTGTATTCAAATCATTCCTCAGAGCTTGCTTCTTTAATTTCTTCTGTTCTCTGTGCAATTTTGTTCATACCTTGGACTACCTTCATTTGGGGGTTAGAGACCCCAAACGTCCACGAATAGTTGAATTATTTGAGACCCTCCTTGAAAAACGCTTTTAGCTGCTCATTTGAATAGTTCAAACACCAAAACTACCTTATCATTAATACACGGTGGAAACCATTTGGCACCTTCATAGAGACACACATGCACAATCTTCTTTGTCTCCTCTCTTGGAGATACAACCAATCAATGCCAAAGAAAAAACGATTGGTGTTCCAGGATTGGCTGCTTTCCAAATGCCAGCTAATAATTAAGTCAAGCAGCACTAAACAAAAGCACTATACCTTCCCAAGCTGCTTTTTTCTTTTGAATATTTTACTTATCTCTCCAAAAGAAAAACAAAACAAAACACATCAGCTAATAGCTGAACTTTCCACAATGAATTTGAAGTTGTGTTCCAGAAAAAAAAAATTCTGAAAATAGGTAAATTTGTCAACAGGCAGGGAATGCGCTGTAATTCCATGCTCAATATTCTTTCCCAGCTGTTCAGCATTTTCCTGATCATACTTACCCGGTTCCCATGTCTCTAATCAAACATCATCAGTATGTAGGCTCGTTGGTTTCTTTTCTCTCTGCTTGTTTCTTCCGCTATGCTCACATCTTCTCTTCTCCATGTGGCAACCCTGGAAGATTCTCTGTTCTCATGAAATCCTCAAATCATTAACTTCCGCATTCGTGTTTCTATCAAGCGCTATTATAATAAAACGTTTTTTAAGTACTAAATGTTACTTTTTAGGTGAATTTTGAAAGCAATAGATGTCGTGAATTTTACTAACAGGTATCTGAGTAAAGGGAACCGAATACGTTTTTTTTTTTTTTTATAAGTTGAAACCATTTACAACTATGTGCTACTTACTGTGTGTTGATGCGTCTCAGAACATTCCAATAAAGTACAATGAAATTTGTGGTTGTAGCGAGACAAAACGTGAAAATATATATTGCCCTTTTTTTTGCAAGACACTGTGTCTTGATACCTGATCCTGCTTCTATTTACATTAAACACAAAAAGCCCTGCCTTCACTCAGCTTCCCCTGTGTTCCTTTCAGTGTCTCCACTGTATCAGGTCAAAAGTGTGAGCTTCATTTGTTGGCTGTCAGTGCGTGACATCTTTGATGGAACCTGTGTAAACTCTCCGTTGTTTGACGGCTCTTGTTGCCCCGTGGGCTCCACAATTTAGGCACAGTCTGTTTGTTTTACTCTGAAGAGTGAAAGCTGCTTCCTCCCGCAGGAAGATGATGAGCTGTCCACTGTCGCTGCAGCCGCCTGAGAAAGTGTGATCTTCTTGTCAGATGTGACCCTCCCCGAAGTGCCTCATGGTGGCCGAACGATGCAAGCGCAAGCCTGAAAAGGTTTCGCTGAGGCCCTGGCAGTCATAGGCCTGACATGTTTTGTTAAGCAGATGCTGTCCTGGAAATGACTAAAATAATCTGTGATGTGTTGGAGGGGTGGGGGAACGAGAGCTTTGTGTTTAGATGCGATGCAGATTCAGTCTCATGTTTTTAATTTGAAGCGTTCTTGACGAGGTTCTTTTTTTGTGGCTCAGTTTGGGATTTTTGTCATGTTCAAAACGTGTAGAGTTCATCTGGGTTTTATTTCCTCCCTCCTAAGATCTTTGCATTCTGATTGGGGAACTAGGTCCAGCTGGGAGGGATGACTTAGACCCTGAGGTATTTGTCCTATGGCATAGGGGCCTCTCCCTTTGGCCCCCACTTCTGGCTGTGGACTCTTTCACGTCCCCTGGGACCACAGCTGGAGGCAGAAGGGTTATTTATAAAGGGGAAGCTTAAACTCTTTATTTTCCTCTGACAAATAAATTACAATATATTCTGAAAAAAAAAAAATAGTTTCCATAACTTTAAATCCCTCCACACAATAAGATCTCTTTGTGTAATCTAAGGATCGCTCAGAACCATGAGGTTTAATCAGACATCAAAGCAGAGAGTGTTTCCTTTACTCCGATTTAGAAACCATAAATAATCGTCTCATTCCGGAGACAAAACTTGACTCTCTTGACCACCAACAGGGCAGCTCTGGCTTCCCATTGCAATCACACAGAGCTTTGAATTGGCTCTGGTCCAAAGAAACCAAACAGGTCCTTCAGTCTGCAGAGGAAGGTGGAGATAGGCGAAAGCTAAAATGTTTGCAAAGCTGTTGAAGGTTATGTCTCTCAGCTGGGCCCCACTGAAGCTCAGTAAAGAAAGTGTCTGTCAGTTACAGCGCATGGCAAAAAGTACCTCGATGCATTTTCTTGTAATCTAGTTTGAAAACCAACAAAAAGTGGTGCATGATTCCACACGATCTCCAAAGCTTTTGACAAAGAGTGGCATGCATATGTAATCCATCTCAGTTTACCCTGACTCCCATAAATTTCACTTCTTTTTCCCCATTTAGTCTGACAAAAAAATATTATAATAATGATGTTTGTGGTTGTAAGAGGATGAAAAAAACATTTCTGAATATTTTCATGTCCAAGTTCAATTCAAATGAGTCCCAAATTAACAAATCGCTTATTTTGACATGCATTAGAAGAATAAAGTACATCACATGTTAAGTGCTTTTTATTGTGTTGGCTGCATAGTGTTTTTCCAACTTGGCTCCTGACAACTTCTGATATTCTGCAACAGCAGAGATACAAAGTGCTTCATTTTGTTTAAGCTTATATTCCTTATTTATTAAATGTGCTTTAATACTATTGTTTTAATAGATTAAATCATGTTTTGCTTTATTCATGTAACAGATTAATCTGCTAAAGCTGTTTAGTATCTTGTCTGTACAATCTGCATTTTTTTTTACATATTTATCCAACATATTCCTAGCAGCTGTTTTTCCAACTGTTTTCCAGGCTCGACCCAAAGGTGAAGGCCTGACCCCGTATCAGGGAAAGAAGAGATGCTTCGGGGAATATAAATGCCCTAAATGCAAGAGGAAGTGGATGAGCGGCAACTCCTGGGCCAACATGGGACAGGAGTGTATCAAGTGCCACATCAACGTTTACCCTCACAAGCAGGTAAAAGTGTACGTCTGAGTGTATCAGTAGTCTTAGCCGGTTGGATGAAATTTGTTGCCAGTTGATTTTGTGATGTTAGAATTGGTGCCGGTTTCCAGCGACAAGGGCATTTTAGAGGAACCAACTCACTTAACACGTTTTTTTTTTTTTTTTGGAAAAACAAGAAAACAAATATTTGTGGTGATTTTCAGAAGAGTCGTTTTTCACCTGCCATATCTAACAATCTGAGAAACAATTAAGTTTTAAGTGTGATAAACACCTCTTTTAAAATAAATATTTTCCTCTCATTTTGTAATTTTCCCACTGCTATCTGTTGGTCTGTTCCATAAAATCCCAATAAAGTGCATAGGATTTGATCAAACACAACCAAAGTTTTACATTTGCGAGCCCGTTTAGTGCATCGATTTCTTGCTTTCAGAGACCTCTGGAGAAACCAGATGGGTTGGACGTGTCAGACCAGAGCAAGGAACATCCCCAGCACCTGTGTGAAAAATGCAAAGTCCTCGGCTACTACTGCCGCCGCGTGCAGTAGGACGCTCTGCCTCTCCTCGCCGAGCGTAGACTCCTTCGGAACATTCACCGTTCCATATTTGACCATTTAAAACAAGTAATAATGAATCATTTCTGTACTGTAATGAATCTAACATAAGTGTCATGAAATAGGCTTTCCGAAAAATTCATCTCAGTGGAATGAGGTGGGTTCTTTTAGGTGACTCTCGTTATCTTCATGTGAAATCTCATCTGTTACCAAAGAACTGAGTTACTGTGAATTTTAAACAAGATTATCTCTGTCTGTTTCGACACGACAGAATGGAGTTTCAGATCAAAAAAGTCTTATACGTGTTTGTATATTTCCAAACTAATTCACTGTAAATGTAATCATGTTTTCTGTATAAAATATGCAAGTGTTTACTAAGAAGTGTATGCAGTATTAGTGCGTTTCTGCTGTTATCAGTACTGGTGGGTACATCTTTTTTTTTTTATGTTTTGCTGCGTATTACACATTTGAGATGAATATATTTGACTGAATCGTCAAGTCTTACTGTGATTGTTAGGAACACACCGGCCTGGTGTTTCAGATTGATACACTTTATTAACATAGGAAGCTATAACGGATGTATAAAAGACACAGCGCTAGCTATACTCACCAAAGTGCCCTTAAGGATGTAAGATGGTACTTGTTGCTTGGGACCAAAGAAGGGATAAAAACCTGAAATGCAGCAGATGTGAGGCAATAATCACACTTTTTTTTTTTTTACTGAAATCATAAAACAAATATGTGAAGTTCAAAATAATGTGCCTTATTTGAATAACAAACAAATCCCTCGAGTATTTTGACATTGAAACGCTGTTTTTTTTTTTGTTTTGTTTTGTCTGTGGTTCAGCATATAAAAAGTTTTGCTTTCTTCTGTATTTCTGTGGATGCTAGAATTCATTTTCTTGGTTTTATGTGATCTTACATCTGGGCTTTAGATATCCATACGCTTGGTTGAGATTTGCTTGCTGTGCTTTTATTTTTACATTTCATTTTAAACGGAGCAAAATCAAAATAGTCAGTGACAAGGCTGAGAAGTGATACTTTCCAGTTAGCTAAGCAGATGTTAAATTCTGAATGTTTCATTTGGGACCGAGTCTGGAAAACAAAAGCCAAGTTTTCCAGACTCTTGGCTGGGAAAACTTGGCTCTCGCTTGGGAGAAATGGGACACTGATGCCCATTTCTCTTGTTCACAGTTCAAAACAGGAAAGACAAGCAAACATGTCATTAAAGTAAAGCAAGAAACTCCCAAAATTATTTTTTCTCTAAATTTTTCTGTGAGATTATGGTGCTGTAGTAAAATCATGTAAAGCAATAAATTATGATGGCCATTTCATATCAACCACTGTCGTGATGCAATGTACGAAAGAAAACAGTTGCAAAATAACTTCAAAACTTTTAAGTAATTGGCTTTATTTCACACTTTTCAAGTAAAAAGTATCATTTTAGGACAACAATCATTATTTCAATTATGCACTGCTACAAAAATTTAACAAATAATTCCACTTTCACAAAAAAAAAAAAATCTAATTTATACATTTTTAAAAAATGCATAGTACCTGATTTACAGCTGAATATGTTCACATTTGAAGGGCCTCATAGGGTACCAGAGTAATAACCAACAAATATAACCATAGAAACATGAAATGCAGCCATCCATTTTCACCAAAGAGAGGTAGCTCTTTGTGCCATGAATAATGAAATGTATCTTCTGTTGAGATTACAGCAGACTCTGACAGAACCCGGTCCTCACGCGGGAGTCTACTCGACCTCTCCGCAGGCTGTGATCGTGATCCTCTTGGAGGTGTGCCCAGACCGGGAACCGTAGGACTCCACTTTCTTGATCACGTCCATTCCCTCGTTCACGCTGCCAAAGACAACATGCCTGCCATCGAGCCTGAGAGAAGAAGAGCTCAGTTTTAATGCCGCTGCCTTGGACAATGAGGTGGTCGACCAAGGCTTCTATCTTCAAGACGAGTAATGGATCGATTTTTGGGGCCTTTCTGTTTTCATTACCAAATTTAAAGTTTTTTCCCCCCATAAGGGGAAAACAAATTGCCTCTGAAGTTCATATCAAGACTCGTATATAAAGGATAAATACAACTTAAAGACATAAATAAATCATCATGTGCCTTTTCTGGTGTTTAAAAATTAAAATACCACTTCAACAGGAAATGAGTACCATTTATGGATGATTACATGACATCTAGATCTATATTGTCTGATGGACAAAGGTGGATAGGACTGGAACTGTTTTCCTGGCAAAAATTATCTTTTTAAATCGGCATTTGTCAAATTAGTGTGTGACTGACTGAATACCTTTGCTGCAAATATCCAAGGAAGAAGTGCAGCTGAGCTAACAGTGAAGGGGAAACATTTCTCTTCTCACACAAAATATGTTCCTCTTAAATCAGAGCACAGCTTTGTCAGAGGACACCAGGCTTAAAATAGAAGCAGGATATTAAGATCTTTACCAGAAAAAAATATTCACCTTCCAGTGATTTAAAAGTGAACACAACTAGAAATGTAACCTGCTTTTTATTCTGAATTTTGGACATACACTGTTTCCCATCTAAATAAATGCATAGAAAGTAAATTTGGGAAAGTATCAAAGAATTTGTTTCTGACAGTGAAGTGTGAATATTAGTTTGGATCTGTGTGAGCAGGACTTTGTGCATTTGTCACCACCGACTGGGTTTTTATTTTTATTTTTTGTGCAAACAACAAAATAGAGCACAAAAGCAGAGAAACCTGTAACCAGTAGAGAAAAGCGGATCAAGCCATAAAGATTAAAAAGATGAAATATTTTCTATAAACAGTTAATTTTATATTGTGGATATTTAAAAATTGACCCTCCCAAAGAAAAGATGAAGAAAGAACGTAACGTATTTCTGATAGCCCCCTTGAGGAGTGTCTGACATTACCCAAAAGAAAAAAACTGCTTAAATTATTTGTCAACGTTTTTGGTGAGGTTTTCCTGTACCTACCACTCTGTTTTCGTGGTGCAAATGAAGAACTGAGATCCGTTGGTGTTGGGTCCTGCATTGGCCATAGACAAGATCCCTAAAAACAGAAAATATAAAAGAAAAACATTTAATCAACAGCTGAAAATACAGATTTTTTCCTTTCACTACAGAGTTTTAGACTTAGACTTTTGACTCCCTTACTTATACAAAATACTTTATTTCAACTGCTACCACTGAAGCAGCATTTCATTCAGACAAGCCAGTGATTAGAATTTCATGAAAAGTGCACACAACCCCCACCTAGTGGAGAAAAATAAACATGACAAGAACAATCTCCGTTATTTTTATTTAGTTCAATTTAAAAATGTGAAACAAATAAATTATCCAGATTCTTTCTTGGCAAAAAGAAAAACATACCATCAAAACATTTAAAGTTTTGATAGCACTTAAAAAAAAATAATTAAAACCACAAATTGAGTTTTCGTGACAGAAAAGATTTTTTTTTTTTTTTTTTACAAAAGTTTTATGTGGTTGCCTACCCAATCGTCAACACTGCTCAGTTGACATGTGTTAAACAGTAGTCATTGACACCCCCCACATATATTGCAACCACAACATATGAATATATTATTGTAAAGTTTAGAGGAAGGAAAACAGTTTGCAAATGTACTTTTTTTTAAGCATAGTTAACATGCGTTTCATTATTTGCTATCCACTACCTTTCTCAATATGTCGCCTAGAACTATTTACAATTAAACAAAGGTTAAAATGACCAGCTTTAATGCTCTGGTGTAGCAGTTTAAAACTACAGAGAAGTCAGTCTAAAACCACATCTTTAAATGTAGAGCTATGCGCTTTGCAAACATTTTTGGTCCATTTTGTCTCATTTTAAACATATAGAACTTCAATACAGATGTAGGCTTGACAAATACCAGCTGTAGCTAAAAACAAGCCCCTCAACGTAAATTGAAAAGGTAACACACATCTCAGGTGTTTTCCTATGAATGGGAGGTGTGAACAAACCAGGGCACACCCTTGTGATTATCCGTTCCATCATCCACATACAGGTTGTACATCAAACATCCAACTGTACATGCACACCCTTGAGTTTTTTGACAAAAAAATGAATAGCTACCTTGTTCATCTCAAGACATGACATGCTGGAGGAATTATGGAATTAATACCCTATGAATAAGTACACTTCTTTAAAAAAAAATCCCTGTAAGAAAATCTGTTTGGACTGAAGCAGAGTGAATGTATGTCAAGGTTTTAATTATTTGTAGACATCCGTCACCAATTCGCTTCTGGTCTCAATGCTTCTAAAGAGCTTGTTTGTGCACATTACACAAATAGCTGCTGTTATATAGGAAACACTCTAGCAGTTGAAGTGTAAAGTACTTCCAGTTATGATCTCGCAGAGTTAACCTGTGAGGATGAATCAGCAATGACTGTGCAGGAATTCCTGTCTTAACTTCCCGTCCATCAATAACTTCATCAAGAAAATAATTTATCTAACTGAGAGTTGAATATTTTGATCATCAACTAGTATGCAAAGTTATGCCTAATGCCACAAATTTGCAACATACCCAGTTTGATTTGTTTGGAAAGGGTTAAAACTTTAACAATCTCACTATAGCATTTGCTTGACAGGAAAAACACAAGTGCAAAAGTTAAAAATCACATTACAATAGTAGAAATCATGCCAGGCAATTTTAATAGCGGTAGGGATATATTTTACTATTTGAAGTACAAGCAGTTGGATAATGTGATGCATTTTTGTTTTCAGTTATTGTGCAAATATGGCAAAAAAATAAAATAAAATTAGGCTATCGTGTCAGCTCATGTCTTATGTCAAACACAAACTGTTTTAGAGGAAATTATTGTATTTAATTGCGAGAGAATAAAGAATGGAAATGTGAATAATATACAAAAGGGCATTATTATTACCAGGTCCAGTGTGCTTCAGCTTGAAGTTTTCATCAGGAAATCTCAAACCGTAAATTGACTTCCCACCAGTTCCGTTGTGGTTTGTGAAGTCTCCACCCTGAAAACATAAATTCAATAAAACAAAAATAACTAAAAACTACAGACAGCAGGATGATACAGGGAGGAAATCCCCTACCTGACACATAAACTGAGGGATCACTCTGTGGAAAGTGGAGCCTTTGTAACCAAATCCATGTTCTCCTGTGCACAGCGCTCTGAAGTTTTCTACAATATTAGATATCAGTTATTTGTTATTTCTTCCATTCTCAAGAGAGGTCCAGAAAGCAGATGCAGATTAGTTTTAAACAACTGTCTGCATTAAATCTTTAGGATTCCAGCCAAACTCAACCAGTTCAAACCTGCCTGCCTTTAGATGTAATCACTGAATTCTGCACTAGTAGCAGACATGTGCCCAATCTCTACATATCTTAATTCCATTAATATTGTCTCCTATACTAACTTTAATTTAAAAAAAAAAGAAGAAGAAGAAGAAACAATGAAAAAAAATAAATGAACACCTACCTGCTGTTTTTGGCACAACATCTGCGTTGAGCTTGAAAAATAAAAATAAGATTTTAGGATGGAGGAATATTTCGTAGCAGAGTAAATAACGCTGACAAAATGAAAGCAAAGAAACTGCACAGCTCCTAACTGCTCACCTCAAATGTCACTCTGCCCAGAGGCTCGTTGTCTGCGGCAATGTCAAAGTAAACCCGGGGGTTTTTATTTGCAGTTGCGGGTCCGCTGCTGTACAGGCGGGCGGCGGTGAACGCCAGAGAACAGAACTTTATCCTGTTTGACAAAATCAACATCTTAAAACAACTACTGTCACTCTGCACACTCTGTTCTACTCAGCTCAACAAGCTAAAGTCACGCTGTTAAAAAAGAAGCAAGCGTAGAAGGATACGCACGAAACATGACGTAAGACGCATTTGGTTTCGGGGCTATCGCGAGACTGGAGGAAAGACAGGAAACACAAACCCACGTCGCCTACTAAAGGGGTCTCTAAAGTTGTTTATCCTTCTGACTACCAGGAAAAAAAATATTGTAAAATCACCATTTTTTTAAAATCCCACAGTCTTTGTAAGGTAATATAAGGTTTTATGCACTTACTTTGTCTCTTCCCATAAAATGAGTTATTACTGATGAACGCCATTTTTATGAATTAGAAAAAGGTACGTACAAAAGTCCCACCCCTTCACATGTGGTGTCATTGAAAAGCCCTAAATGTCCTCTCCAGATACCAAAAGGAATTAACTCAGTAGAATGCAGGGGGTGGGAGATATTCAAGTTTAGAAATGTCCTCTACAGAGGACAAAAATGAACTACTGGTAGTCAGGAGGTTGAATTATATAAGGGTGGTTTAGATAAAGGGATACATTTTGTCAAGTCAGTTTTACTTAAAAATGTTAGTGAGAGAAATAGAAGGGAAGTAATAATGATGAGTCTGAGGGTAGGTCTGCTTAAGTTACATATTGTACTGAGGCGAGAAGAAAATTGGAAAATTAGGAAAATAAGGAGAACATGGCCATTTGCAGCCCTGCGAAGTTTTCTGTAGCACCGAATCATAACTCCAGAGTGCACCAGATCTGGTCAGCAAGCACAAATATAATTGTTGTTGATGTTTTGAGGCTGACATTTTCATAAGAAAAATATTAAAATAAATTAAAAAAGGTTGGGTAAAAACCAGAATTCTACATCTACAACCTACAAACATCCAGCAACTCATACTCAGAAGCAAACTGTATGTAAAGAGTCTGCAACAGTCTTCAGACTTTTATATGTATTTGACTGACAATGATGTACAGATCAAAGAAAGTCTACATTGTCTATATTTTAAAAATGTCAAAAATCAAATTATCTGCAGGAGAATTTGAAAAATTTGTGTCTTTTTTCCAAGGCAACACTGTATACAAAGATATAAATATATTATACCCTACATTTATAGTTATATATCGTCACCTTCAATATGTAATGTGACAATATGTAACCTTGCATATTGTAAGTTACAATAATATGTAAGTTACAAATTATTGTAAAATAATAGCCCAAGTAATTTTTTGTCAAGTGTTTTTTTTTTTTTTTGTCAAAATCATATTTTGCCCAAAAGTTATGATTTTAGGAAGGTGACAATATGATGGCTGGACTCAGATATGAGTAAAGAAAGCATTATACTCTTAGGATGTCACATATTTTGTAGATTTTATTTTTGAACAAATAAAATCATTATGAATTGACTAGACTTATTACTTTAAAAGATGGATGAAGGAAGGTGCAGTAGCTTTCATTGATGGACGGATAAAAATATTTTATGACAACTGTTTATTTACACTTAAAATAATACAGACATTTACAGAGTGAGATCAGATAAAATAAGACTACTTTCTAACAAACATAATTTTAAATTAAAATGCTGGCCTTTGTAACAGATTAGAAGAGCGTTTTTATGTTACTGACCCTGGTAATTAGCCATGAAGCAACAACAGGACCAGATCTGATTGATTGTTCCTGCTAGGGTATAAGGAATCGTCAAGTCCAAAAGCTTGTTCCCCTTTATCCTTTTAATTACACACTCAACGAGAGCATGGAGCCTGGCAACACTCTGGGCTCTCCATTGGTTCAAGCTGATTCCGTCCTCAGAGCTCACAGGGAATGTGACGAGTTTTGCCCCAACATTTTTCAACAGATTGTCAATATAAAAGTTTTTGGGTGCTATGACCTCGTCACCTGGCTCAAGTAACTTCAAAATCCCAGAGAGCCTCGTCAGTTCATCATTTGAGATGGAATCAGAAAATAATTTTGACACAAAGGTGATGAAGCCACAGGGAGCTATTCCAACCAAAGCTTTATATGTGACACACTTCCTCTTGCATAACAAAGTTTCAGAAGATGTTTTCATTTCTCCGATTTCACATCTGAGCTCAGCACATGCAAGGATGACCCTTGTGCAGAGGCAGTACTGACGGATTATTGGGGCCATCGTCTTTCGGACCTGCGCTCGTGTCATCCAGATTCGTACCGACCCCAGCACAAGATACAAGTAGTTGGACCACGTGACGATGGTCTGAATCACTCGCAAGCGACTGACCCCAAACATCCCTGCCAGAACTCTGTCTTTCAGCCCAGCAGACAGATGGAGGCAGAACATAAAGAACTCATCGATGAGTGGAAGTTCATGCTCAGGTGTTAACTCAAGGTTGGCCGCTTCTGGAAGAGCTGCAATCCTGTTTGCTTCAGACCAGTATGCAATCATTGATGCAGAAGGTTCCACAGAAGCCCAAAAAACATAGAAGACATCTTTAGATGGAAACCTGGTGAAATACTTAAAGTCTTCATCAGACAAACACCATCTCTTAGAAAGAGGTCCAGTAAGGGAGAGTTTTGATATGGTCTGCTTCAACTGTTGGATTCTCTCCAATGCCCCATTAAGTTCACCTAAAGACACAAGATCATATTTTGTATTTAAACAAATGCTTGCTTACATACACTGAGTTCAAATAGCCCTTGGAAGTTGTAAATCTGAAGATTTGATACATGTTTTGCCCACAGAACATGATAAATAGTTTTACAGACTACATTAATTAGTATTTGACATTGTACAGCATTACATGTATAACGGGTTTAATTCAACACAAGCCATGGACCTTACCAAGCTCTGCCCAGAAACGCCCCCTAAAATCCCACGTGGCTGCATGGCTCACAAACAAAGCCTCGCGGAGCTTAGTTTCTATGTGTAAACATGGCGTCTTTCATTTTGACTGACTCTGCAGAGTATTTCTGAGTCGATTAGTGTAGCATTTCTGCCGGATTTTCAAAAAAGATATCAGCCACGACAATGGACAGGGGAACCAACAAGTTCATGTCATCTTTTTTGGATGACATCAATGTGTTTGAGCCACGCGATGCCTCCAACATTGTGCGCGTCGCAGCTAAATGCTACCGGTCGATGAGGAAAACAGCAGATCCTCACACCCTCAACATAAAAATAGCTGTGGACAAGATCACTGATGCCTATTGTTCTTGCAAGGCTGGGTAAGTCGGACATTCATGGTTTTGAGGGTTACTTTCGAAATCAGTGATTTCTGTTGTTAGCAAATGTTTGAGTGTGCATAGCCTGATA